GAGAGAGAGAGAGAGAGAGAGAGAGAGAGAGAGAGAGAGAGAGAGAGAAGCCATGTTGTGAAGCACAGGAAAGGATGCCCAGCCAGATGTGAAGAGAGAGAAGAGAGAGGGTGAGGTAAGGGTTGAGAACAACTCTCCAGCAAAAGCTGAAGTGTTGGAGCCAAGGGTGTTCCAATCAGAGGCATGGGGCCAGAGGCAAAGGACTGTCGTGTTTTGGAGAAATAAAGTTTTTGTTGGCATGTGTGAGGAGCTGAAGGTGAGGATGGAGAGATGTGACGGAAAACAAAGATGAAATAATCAGTGAGAGCCTTAGAGAAAAGGACCAGGTCTGGCTCTGGTGGCATGTCCCCGGTACACGTAGTCTGTCCGGTTAGTCTAAGGCAACTTCTAAGAACGCCGCAAGGCTGTTCATCTTGGGGGTGGTGGGAAATCTCCTCTATGCAAGGAACCAAAAAACAAACCCGAGTCATATTTCTGTATTGAGCATTTGTAAAAAACAAAGCACAGCTCGTCAAATTTGAGATTGCCCAGGACATGCTCATCCCACATCATTATCAGTTGTTCATTTGAAGTTCAGATTTAACTGAGGGTCCTGAGTTTATCTGGCCACACTGTCTAATGATGAGCCCCAAGATGAGCTCATAGAATACATAAGGAACCAATCGTGGCTTTCTGTGAGGGCAGGGAGTCTTGAAACTAGCTGGTAGCTGTCCAGAGGGCAAAGGGGCTAGAGGAATCAGGCGTCCATGTTTTACTTGGGACAGCTAAAACACGCAGCCGAGCTCTGCTGTTAATCGCTGACCGAGTGAGGCTCAGCTCCGCCAGACAGCACTTGGGTTTCCCAGACTCCCAAAGCAGGAACAAATGACTCCTTGCCTTTTGCGCCCTACTCACTGGAGTGCTGTAAGGTCTGACCCACGCCACCTTCAGCTCTCGGTCTCAGCCCTGAGCTGCCTTAACTGGCTCAGAATTAAAGAGCAGAGTCACGTGTGCAAAGCCTTCTGGGAAAGGCTGCAAAGAACTCCTCAGCTAGGGATTCCAAAAACCACAAGTCTCCTGACTGCAGCACTTCATCAAGGGTAGCAATTTACAGGAGGAAAATGACTCAGCCTCCACCCGAGTCAGTTATCAGCTCCACCCATGAAATCCTTTTGACCTGAGAAGGTCCCAAGCCAACTCTGGTAGACTCCTGGATGCACCCGAAGGAGAGGATTTGAATATATCGTTTGTTCTGTCTTGGAGGAAATATGCAATATTTCTGCCATAGTGATGTCGATAGGGCCGGCCCAAGAGCCAAGGCTATCACTGTTATTTGCTAAACTGGGGACTGAGTCCAGGGCTGCATGCACACTAGGCAAAACCTGGTCTGCTGCTGTCCTGTGGCCTCAGCCCTTAGGTTGATGTTTTCTAATTCCGCAAGAAAGCAAAAGTAAATACTGCTGTACTGGAGGAGATTAAGCCTCCCAGGAGGATTTCTCTGAATTTTACACAAACCACCTTCTGCGACATCCAGAGAAATGACACCATATGGATTCATCTTCCATTACCCACAGTTCTGAATTCTGTAGAGGTTGTGAGCTTTTCCACACTGCATTTGGGTGCAAACCCTAAGCTGTTCCCAGGAGGCTCGTGTAATCTGTGTGTCCTACTCAGGAAGAGTGTGAGCATAGCACACTGCAGAAATATCCGGGCTCTGACTGCAAGGCACTGCCCTAACCCCACTGGGTAGATTTCCCTATGTTACCCAGGCTGTTGCAGCAATCCTCCTGCCTCAAACTCCCAAATCCCAGTAATAACAGGTATAAATCACAATATCCAGCATTTGCTAGTTCTTTTTTATTGATTAGTGTTGTTTCGGGGGCCAAAGATAGAACCCGAGGCTTCAGGAGGTAAGCACTCTACCACTGAGCTGGCTCCCCGACGACTATTTCATTGCCTTCTTAGCTGAATTGGAAATTCTTATATTCAGAAATGCCGTGGGACCCAGTTTTCAGAAAGCTGCTGTGTCTCTTGAACAGCCCGCCCCTCCTCAGCTTTCATCAGTGAGCTGAGATGTAAGCGGCAACTTGAACCAACCCATTTACCAAGAAGCTGTGGCCAGCACAGCCCGAGACTCCAGAGCACGCCGCTTGTTATAGGCACCGGAGGGAGAGAAACGTGACAAGTAAAGGCACGTGGGTCCCTTTTCCTTGACTCTCCTCCTTCCAGTCCGTCTGACAGGCACTAAGTATGGCTGTGGGAGCGGAGGCTGTGGCGCCTGTACAGTGATGGTGTCACGATACGATCCCAAGAGCAAGAAGATCCAGTATCCTTTGCACTGGCCTGGTTGTGCTCTGGGCACATCTGGGAAGGGCGAGGGGCCTCGCCGATGAAGACTTCGCTTTCCCTGAAACTATGCGCCCCTCCCTCCTGTCTCCAAGTCTCTCACATGCTCACCCTGGCTCCATCTCTTTTCCATAAATGTTCTGCCCAGCAGGACTTATTTGTCCTGTGTTCCGAGCTCTCGGGGGCTTGGTTCACTGTTGCTATAAAATAGTCCCTTTGCTTTTGAACAGGGGGCTCTGGGAAGTGTCTGCAAGAACGAGCTAATGCAGACGTTATAGCCTTGGTGAGCGTTAGGCCGTGGCACACACTAGGAGTCATTTTCCCAGGAGGATGAGTGATTGCTCAAATCCAACTGCCTCACCTTGGCCTTAAAATGCAAATCTGCTCTCTGGTGGAAAGTGGAGGTGAAGGCGGAGTTCTCTAGTGCAAGTGCCAGGGTTTTGCCATGGATGACACGTGGGTGGTACCATCCACAAACTATAGAACTTGGAAGAGGAAAAGCTGAGGAGGCGGGAAGTGGCAGATTAGCTGGGGACACATCTAGGGTACTGTCTCTAGGGGATTGTCCAGCAGCTGTTTCCATACAGAGCTTAACTGTTTAGAGACGATCCCTTCTCGGGAGTTATAACTTATTGGGTATGTGAACAGAAATAACAATGTGCTGATAAAATCAGCAGCATCTACTGGATGCTTACTGAATGTCGTGCACTGTTGGAAATGTTTACATATTAGGTATGTCATCAAATTTAGTTCTCCAAACGACCTCATGAGGGTGTGACTGTCACCCACATTTAAAACTGAGAAAGAGCAGCAAAAAAAAAAAAGTTAAGTTTTATGAACTTCTCAGTGGTGATTGCGGGTTCTCAGCCAGACCATCCGAAAGACAGCAAGACCTTGAGAACAGAGGTGTGGGACTCTGTCAGAAAACAGAAAGGGAGACGGGCAAAGAAAGATGTGTGCACACGGGTACACGTACACACACACACACACACACATACTCACAAACATGCCCTCATACACACACACATACCTCTGCACACATGTAGACATACACTTACACACACATATACTGACATACACACACATATATATGTATACTCTCTCACACACACATTCATACATACATACACACTAAAGAAAAGGAAGAAAAGAAAGAAGGAAGGAAGGAAAGATAATTGTGTCAAAACAGTAGCATCATCTAAAGAGCCTAATCAGTGACTAGCTGATCTCAGCCCAGAGATTTTAACTTCATTGGACCAGGATACAAGAATATTCCTGTTCTTGGAAGCATCCCATGGTTGAGGACTACGGACTAAATTGCTTAGTGGTCAAGTCCAACTTTCCTGGTCTCTTGTAGTAGTTACTTTTCATCACTGTGACCAAGATATGGATCAGAACAACTTACGGACAGAGACATTCTATCCATAATGTTTTAATGACCAGGGAACTCTTAAGGAGGGAGAAGTAAGGAATATTTAGATATAAAAAGACACCTAAACGATGAGAGGAAAGACAGAAACACAGGACAGCCTCAGGAGGGCCTGGACCCTTACCCACCCACCCAGAACTTTATTCAAAAGGACTTTTTATAACAATGCCAGGGGGCGAGACAAAAGACCTCCCCCTTGCTAGACACAAACCAAGTACAGATCCTTCCAAACACCTGATACCCAGGCCCACGGTCCAATCATCCTCTTAGGCAGCCCTGCTGGTAAAGCCAGCTCAGACCTCACTAGGAAACCTCTGTGGGCTCCAACAGGCCCGGAGTTCTGGGAGACCTCAGTCCCCGAGTGAGGGAGGTGGAGCATGGTACCTCCATCTGGGGCAGAGGGAACAAGAGGCAAAGTTCACTTCATGGTGGAGGCCATTGGTGAACCGGTGCCAGGCTGTCACCTTCAGGCACACTCCCTGGACCTGCTTCCACCACTGTCACCTACACACAGGCTCCTTAGCCTCACAGGCGACACCAGCAGCCAGGGAGCAAGTGCTCAGAACATGAGCCTAGCTGGGCGGTGGTGGCACTCGCCTTTAATCCCAGCATTCAGGAGGCAGAGCCAGGAGGATCTCTGTGAGTTCGAGACCAGCCTGGTCTACAGAGTGAGATCCAGGAAATGCGCAAAGCTACACAGAGAAACCCTGTCTCAAAAACTAAAAAA